ATGTGATTTTAGTCCTTTTTTAGCAGCATTTAAATCGAAACAATCATCTCAAGTACTTAAAACTTTTTTTTTTCAATAAAATAATTTTTCTAGAGAAGTGATTTTTCAGATTTACCTTCACACAGTTTGGTCATGCCCAAAAAATATTAAACTTAACAGAAAACTAGAATTTACACCTGCTCTGTGGGCGTCTGTGAGTTGCTGCTTTGTGTCTCTTTTTCCATCCCTGATTTATTTGCTGCCTGTTGTTTTCTCATTTCTCCTTGGTCAGTTGTTTTTTTTGGGTAGCTTCTGTCTGGAATAAAAAAATATAAAAGAAAAAAAAAATCAGTGTTGGTTTCCTGGGCAATTTCTCTGTTTTTCTAACTGGTTTTTATTCATGCTTTTGAGATGAATCCCAGGAATCTGAAGCTTTCCAGCCAAAGGAGGTGTTTAAATGCTGTGCCATCCGAGGGTGCTGGAATGCAGGGAGTTCTGGAGATGCCTTTGGGTGCAGCCAGAGCTCTGTGACCTGCTCCAAGGACACACAAGCAATGGATTAATGGGAATAATGCACACAGCTGGAAATGTCCTGGGTGCTGCAGTTTAACTCCTCGCTCTGTCCCGCTCATCCAGCTCTGTCCCAGACACTCTGCACAGCCCAGCGTGTTCAGCACACCAAAACCCTCCCAGCATTTCCATCTGCAGCAATTCCTGCATTCCTGGACGTGCACACGGATGAATTGCTGCTGCCTGGCTTGGAGGGAGGTGGGGATTCAGGGCAGGAGGGAGCCGAGGAGCTGCAGGGCACAGCCCCAAACCCACCTGCTGCTCCCATTCCTCTGCTTTTCCTTCCAACTGGAGCCTCAGGCTGCACCAGGGGAGCTCAGCATGAGCGTCAGGAGGAATTTCCCCATGGAAAGGGTGGTTAAAAGTGGGAATTGCTGCCCAGGGAGGTTTGCAGTGCCCATTTTGGACGTGTCCCTGCAATTCTCAGGGCTCTGGGCTGGGGACAAGGTGGGGATTGAGGCTGGACTCAATCTTGGAGCTCTTTTCAACCTCAGTGATGGTGTGAGGCTCTCTGAAGCACTGAGTGTTTTACTTACCTTTGAAACAGGCCTGTTTTGAAAGAAAATTTGTAACAACCTAAAAGCCAGCTGGGCTTTTTGTGGCCCTTTGGTTGTGATCAGCTCAATCTTGGAGCTCTTTTCAACCTCAGTGATGGTGTGAGGCTCTCTGAAGCACTGAGTGTTTTACTTACCTTTGAAACAGGCCTGTTTTGAAAGAAAATTTGTAAAAACCTAAAAGCCAGCTGGGCTTTTTGTGGCCCTTTGGTTGTGATCAGCTCAATCTTGGAGCTCTTTTCCAAAATCAGCAGTGCTGGGATTGAGGAGTGCTCGGGCACAGCACAGTGACTGCAGTGGGGCATTTCTGTGCACCTCACCTGTTTCTGGCTATTATATCCCTATATCTCTATAATATCTCTGCTATTTCATGTTCCCATGATATATTTTTTTTAATCCACCACAGCCTAAAGGTGTCAGAGCTCTGCCCTGCTCATCCTCCAGCCCTGTTTGCCCCAGCTGCTTTGGTGGCTGCTGATTACAGTGGATTCCAGTGAAATGAAACAAAAAAAACCCCAAAAAACATCTGCTGAGAGCATCACCTTGTCATCGTGGCTGTGCCCTCCAGAGAAGGCAAACCAGGGGGTTTTGTGTTTGTGGCTGGGGAACAAGCAGGGTAATGCTGGGGCTGGGAGGTGCCTGGCGTGTTCAGCCCTGCAGTAATGACAGGCTCTGCTTGGCAGCCTGGCCTTGTGGCTGGCTTTCAGTTTTGTCCTTTCAGTTCACAGTTCTTGCTCTAAGCTGGATTATTTCAGGCTTGCTTAAGGGCTTCGTGGCAGCTGGAAGATTTGGTTTCAAGAGAAGTGAAAGATTAAAATGGTGTTGGTGTAAATTAACCCTGAGCTGCTGTGTCTTTCTTTTGCTGTTCCCATGCAAAGTTCTTTATTTCCATATTTTATTTTGAATTTTATTTTATTTTTTCCTTGCTGCCTTTGCCACTGCCAATTAGCTGTACTCTTGTACTATTTATTCCTAAACTGTAGCATTCCCTACTACTTTTCTGTCCCAGGAATTTAATCCTTTCTTCTTCCCTTGAGCAGGTATTTTCTCCTTTGATCCTGGTGGAACACTCCACATCCTGTATTTAAAGAAGTTGTTGATGATAAGCCTGGAGTGCTGACAAACGCTGCACACAAGGCCTTGTACTGTAATTTGTGTCAAGAGATCATTAATGCTGGCATTCCTTTTTAATTCCTGTATTTATGTGAGGATGGGGTGGAAGGGGCCACTTCCACTCCTGTTTGCCAGGCTTAGTGCCTCCCAAAAATTGCACTGAAGGATGGAGAGTTCCCCTTTTTTCTCGATCCGACACTTGCTCAGTTTTTCTGGCTGCTGGTCTCCAATCTGGATTTATTGGGAAGTCTCTCAGTGCAGCCTGAAAACAAAAAAAACGCTAAAAATGGAAGAGATGGGGAGGAGGAAACTTCTGACATCCAACACTTCCCACCAGCCAATTACCCTCGCGACCCTGCACTTCCAGCAGGGCTCTGTCCACCTGAGTCGCTGCTTTAGATGTGAATTAGGTGTGAAAATTCATTTTGCCACAACGAAAAAGAGGCGGCTCTGGGAGCACGGAGCCTTTTTTGTGCTGCTGACCTGATCTGCTGGCAGGTGCAGAGCCTGCAAAACCCCTCCTGCTGCTGCTGCTGGAAATTCCCTTTTCCTTGCCTGCATGAAATTGCTTTCTCTGGTCAGGATTTGTGGTCAGCAGTGGGCAGCCAAGGATGCTCGGTATTGGGAGAATCATCCCCAATTCTCCTGGGAGTGGGGAAGGAGAGAGGCTGGGGAGCACAGCTCAGCTCCGAGTGGAGAAGCTGGTTAAAAATTCAGCTCCTAGACCAGGAAAAATGTTGACACAGCTGCTTTTGCAGGATGTCTTTGGAGTAGCAAAGCCCCAGGAAGCAGGGCTGGCTGCAGACTGCAGGATTAGAGAAAGAACAAGGCAGATATATAAAAAAATATATAAAATAATTATAACAACGCCCTAAACGTGTCCCTTTCATCCCCTCTGTGAACCCCACAGAAGCTGCTGCTCTTCCCTTGGGTGATTTTAGGAGACTTCAGCCTCCTTCAGCCTGGACTTGGCTCCTTGCAGTCAGGAAATATCCAGTCCATGAGAGCAGCAACCACAGCAATCTGCTCCCTCCCAAAAACCCTGCGAGGAGCAGGCAGTAACCTCTGCAGTGCCACAGCTGGGAGGCAGAAAAGTGCGGAAAAAACCCTGGAATTGCAGCCTGGAAGGTTCTGCCCGTGGTTGGGAGGGAGCAGGGCAAGGAGAAAATATTGGATTTGCTGTTGGGAGCAGATTTGGCCTCCCAGCCAGGCATTTTCCAGGGTGGATCCCTGATGGAGACAACAGGAAAGGCTCCTTCTTCCAGGAGATTCAATGAAATTCCAGGAGATTCCGTGAGATTTCAGGAGATTCAATTAAATTCCATGAGATTCTAGGAGATTCCATGTGATTCCAGGAGATTCCAGGAGAGTCCATGAAATCCATGAGATTCCAGGAGATTCTATGTGAATCCTTGTGATTCCATGTGAATCCATGAGATTCCAGGAGATTCTATGTGAATCCTTGTGATTCCATGTGAATCCATGAGATTCCCATGAGATTCCATGAAATTCCATGAGATTCCATTAAATTCCATGTGATTCCATGGGATTCCATGAGATTCCAGGAGACTCCATGAGATTCCAGGAGACTCCACGAGATTCCACGGAACTCCAGGAAATCCCATGAAATTCCATGAGATTCCATGAGATTCCATGAAATCCCATGAAATTCCATGAGATTCCAGGAGGTTTTAGGAGCTTCCAGGAGGTTCCAGGATTTTTCCCTAGAAACAAACCACTTCTCTGGATCTGTCTTGGACAGTGTGGAGTTAACAGCAGGCTTTTCTTTTTTTTCTTTTTCTTTCTTTTTTTTTTTTTTTCATGGCCATATTATCTAATAATAATAATGGCTTCAGTTTCTTGGAATTTGTTTGGAAGTGTCTGGTTCTGTCTGATGCTGGAGACAGGATCCTGGACTGGCTCAAGTTCTGATCTGGATGCTCCCAAAGTTTCTCTTGTTGCAGTGAGTAATTATTTAAATGTTTATTTAGGGGGTTGTTATAATTATAATTATAATACTCGCCTCTTTCCTGAAACTCTTCCCCCTCTGGGATTTTCTGGTAGAGAGACAGAAAAATGTCAGAAGGAAAAATTCAAGTGTGACAATTAAGTTTATGCTCATGGGTCCCATGGGAAGGCTCCTGACTTGTGTTTTTAAGTTCTCTCGTGGAGTCCCACAGACATTTAAGGACAGTCACTTTTAATTCCTTTTCTTCACTTGATGATTAATTTGATGGAATTGTAAAATCCAATAAATCCAATCCACTAAATGGTGTTAACCATAAGCTACAATAACCTGAAAACAGAATGTGAGAAACCAGAAAAATTAACCATATTTTAATTTTCCTATAATATATAATTTTACTTTTAATATCCTAGCAGCAGCTACTTTATTTCCTATTTTATACTTTATTTCCTGACTTTACCCATTGTAATTTTCCTGTAAATACCCAGCCCTTGCTTACAAATCACAGGACAGGGTAAATCTTGTTTTCTAGGTTGTCTTTGGAGACTGGAGCTGGAAGTGAAACCAGATGAGGAGATCAAAACCCCATTGAAGGCAGCAGAATAAATCCACTCTGGAGCAGTGTCAGACAAAGGCAGGAACAGCTGGATCAAGTAAAGCACGAGGAAAATTGGTTCCATCCCTAGGGGGAGGGAGAAAGATTTGTTTTGTCAGCCCAGGGCTGTGTGGGACCAAGTTTGATGTCAGAGTGAGGGAGGGCTCAGGAGGTGCCAGAGGGAGGGGAAGGACGAGAGGGATCTGCAGAAAGTGCCAGGGAAGGGAAGGGAAGGGAAGGAGGTGGAGTAACCCTGCAGAATCTGAGCTGCTGTCCTCAGCTCTGGGGATGTAAATTGATGAGGTCATAGTGTTTTCCAGTTACAGAAAAGAAAGTTAAAGAAGGAAAAAAAAAAGTTTTCAGCTTGTTTTTCAAGAGAGGAGAAAACTCCGAGGAGCCGAAGAAATGGAGCAACTTTTAAAACTCCTCCTGTGGCAGATTTTGCTTCAGCAAAGTAAGCTCTGAGCTGCTGGTGTGGTGTTATTTCTTTTTCTTTCAGCTGCACAGCGGGGCTGGGGCTTGGCTACAAGATGTTGAAGTGTTATCTTTGTAAGACTTTGTTCAGATTCCTACATTTGCTCTGTTTTCATCTGGGGAGGGGAGGGAGCCGTAGCTTTCCTCTCTGCTTTTTGGGGAGAGAATGGAAAAAATGTTTGAGGTTGTTGGAGCCCTGTTTAGCATGTTTGTGCAATTTTTTTTTCCCTATCAGTAAATTCAAAACCAATAAGCTTGGCTGTGAGTACAGCAAGGCTTTCAGAGTCAGATTTTTAGGATTCAAGGTTATTTTTTTACTTTTGAAGAAGCAGAAACAGCTTGGGGGGGTGTGAGAAAGGATTCAGATGGAGGGGAAGAAGGATGTGTGATTATTGGGTTTCTTTTCCTCTTCTCAGCATAAAGACAGACCCAGAATTCACTTTTGGGTAGCAAGGTGCAAGAAAGAAGTAGGAAGTGAGGAGTTTTTTGGGGACTGGTGACCCCCTGCTCTTCCCAGCCCTTTTAAAAGGCTGTGCCTGACACCTGAGCCCCTCAGCTCTTCAGGACTGAGGTGGAATAAGGTGAGGAGTTCTCCCTTTGGCCCCTGATTAATCCACTTTCCATGTCACCATGGCACTTTTGAATGCCCCAAGGCAAGGCTGAGGAATTGGCAAGCGAGGGGATCAGTCATAGGCACAGAGGGGTTAAAGTGGCTCAGAAATCTGGGCTGTGGGGTGGGTTAAAGAGGAGGAGGAGGAGGAGAGGCCACAGCTGTGTGCTCCAGAAGCACCAACCAGTCCAGTGAGTCCCAGCGAGGCTTGGCAGAGCAGCCAGGGCAGGAAGAGCAGGTTGGGCTGCTGCAGAGCCAAAGGTGCCCCCTGAGCAGGGATGGTCTCTGACAGAGCTCCTGCTGCATTTCGGGTTGACCTGGATGCACTCTGATGTTTGAGCCCACCTAAATCAGGTTGTAATCAATCAGGAGGATGGGGATGGGGGAAAATCTGTGACCCCTCCTGCACAGGAACCACTCCCTCAAGTGTTAAAGTCTCAGGGAGGAACAGCTCCGTGTTTGGAATGGCTCTACAAACCCATCCCGTGGGCCTGCAGCCAAGGCCAAGCTCACAAGGCTTTAAAGCTCTGCTAAAATCCCAGAAAAAAATCCCAGATCTCAGAGGGATCCTGTCTGTGCCCCAGCTGGGATTGGCTCCTTGCACAGACACCAGGATTTCCCTTTCTGCACAGGCAGCACATTCCTGCTCCCTGCATGTTCCTACCTGCAGGGAGTGCAGGAGCTGCTGGGGCTGCAGGGGTGTTTAAGGGCTCTGGAATCCTTTTGGGAAGTGGGGGAGAGTCTGCTGCTGGGAAAGTTGGCCCAGGAAGCCTTTAAAAAATAAACAAACACAGAGATTTGGAGAAAAATCCCAGCTCAAAGCCTGGCTTTGAAGGGAAATTCAGTTTTACTGAAAAGCTGAGTCTTGCAGGCTGGGCTGGGAGCAGTTTAGGCTCAGCTGTTTTGCTCACCATATCTCCCTTCCAGATGAGCCCAGATGTTACTGCTCAGTGGGGTTAAAAACCCTGGGCTCGTTTGTGTCACTGTCACCTCCATGCTGCTGCACCAAAGCCATCAGGGCCTCTCAGCCCCCTGAAGAGTCAGGCTGGAGCCACTGCCACTCCCCAGAGGGTTTGGGGACAGCCTGGTGGCACTGGCTGCTGCTTTTCCCACCATTGTGTAACGACCCCACAGAGCCCATTAAACCTCCTGTAAACAGAGGGATTTGTGGCAGAAAGGAGGAATCTGGCACCCACAGATCTGGGGAAGGACGTGTCCTTTCCTGCTCTGGTTGTTTTGCATCCCCAGTGTGAAAGAGGAGCTCAGAGGTTCCCTCAGCACCGAGCTGAGCAGCAGCTCCCGAGTCCCAGCAGGGCTCAGGGGACAATTTTCTGTCCCTGTCCTCCAAGGACACTGCCTGGAGAGCTCTGAGCATGTCACACATCTTGCACAGCCCCAGCCTTTTGCTTCTAGTTTGCCCACAAGGGGGATTTTTTGGGGGGGATTTTTTTTTGGGGGGGATTTTTTTATGGCTTAGTTCTTCACATGAAAAATGGATGGGATTCAAGAAGTGCGAGCTGGCTCTGCCTTTTACAAGGGATTAAGAAATCGTTTTCCAGGCTGCTTTCCTCTTCCTCTACTGTGGGACCACAGAATATCTCTGGGATCCTGCTGACTCAGCACAGATTTGTCAGGGGACAGCACAGAATTGTCTTTTGTTGGGTTTTTTTTTGTGGTTTCATCACCCAGAGAAGACAAAGTGCTTCTCCATCCCATGGAACTTGAGCTTCTAAAATGAAAGCCACAGCTGAGGTCTGTGTTGACAGCTCTGAAGGCAGCTGAGGTTTAGAAGCTCCAGGCCCTGGAGGCTGTGGGGACAGAGGTCAGAGCTCTGTCCAGGTGCTTGAAAATTCTTTGGTTTTACACTTGACTCACCAAAATCCCTGCTCCCAGCTGAGCCCAGGGCTGGAATTGTCACAGGGAAGGGAAGGTAAAGGAAGGGAAGGGAAGGGAAGGGAAGGGAAGGGAAGGGAAGGGAAGGAAGTCCTTGCCCTGGCAGGTGGGAGCTGCAGGACTCCAAAGAGGTGCAGAGGCAGGTGCTGGTGTGAGCTCAGAGCTTCTGTCACTCGCTGCATTTGCAGTGCTGCATTCCTAAATCTGCCTGGTAAACTCGGTGCTGCTCCGTGTTTTTCCCATTAGCTCGCCAGAGGAAGGAGAGCAGTAAATGCCTTCATTCCTCTGCCCGAGCCAGCAGAGGATGTTTCTGTCCCACCAAACCAATTTGTTTTTCATGCAGGGCTTGGAAGCAGCCTCAGACACCATTCCCCAGCTCCCAAATCACTGTTCATGTCACGACATTGTCCCCTGGCCCCCTTCAGCCACAAGGACACAGTGGCACCTCACCTGGTGGCCTGTCACAAGTGACACCAATTTTTCCTGATTTGGTGCTGTGGAAGAGATTTTTTTAATCATTCTTTTGTTTTTCTAAGCCAAATCTAAGTCCTGGCTTGCAGAGACAAGGGCTGCAGCTGACACATTGTGCAGAGACAATCAAAGGATGGAGTTATGATGTCTCTTTCTTATATACAGAGAGCACAGACCTGGGCCAGGATTTGATTTTTCTCTTTGTGATGGTGAGATTTTAAATGTAAGGAAAAATACCTCCTGTTTGAAGTGCCTTTGAGCTGGCAGTTCAACAGCCAGTGCTGCTCATTTTTTGTTCTCTGCTGCCCAGTGCTTTGTGATAGAAAAAAAGGAGGAAACCAAGTTAATTCTCAACACTTGGGGGTGTGCTAAAATACTAAAATACCCCCAATCTGGAGTTGAATTTGAAATTCATAAATTCCAGGGCTAAAGAAAAAAAAATACAGTCTTTGTCTGGAGGACTTTGTGCCTGTGACATTAGCAGGACAAAACCTCCTGTGATTTTGATGGGTTTGGCTGGGTGGAGAGATGAATGGTGGTGTTGTGTTGGGAATCTGTGTTGGGAATCAAAAGCCTGGTGCCAGGAGACCTTCCAGACCCCTCCCACACAAGGAGCAGGAGGGACTGGACCAGAGAAATGCAGAATCAAAGGAATTGGTTCATCTCTGGCAAAGTTCCTCCTGTGTGGATCTGAGTCATGTGAGCTGCTGCACCCAGAGCATCACAGAATTAACTGTGCAAAGAGTGTGGCTGGAGTGGGAAATGGATATAAACACCCAGACATAAACATCAGCATTACTAGGGAAGGGAATGGATGGAGCAACGCCAGAGGTGGCTGCTGACTTGGAGTGTCTTTGTAGCTTTTTTATCCTTTTTTGTCAGTAACACTCTTTGTTTTCTGCTTTGACAGGTTCTGTGTGCTCATATTCAGGTGAGTGGCATCTCTAAATCTGCCAGGTTTTTTATGATCATGGGAGGAGTGAGAGGGCCCTGATTCCATGGCATGCACAGGGGCTTTCATTGCTGACTTCCATGGATTGTGCATCCCATGCACTGGAGTCCCTAAGCCTGGATTAAACTGGGGCTCAGGATTAGGAAGGGTGGGTGGGACAGCTCGAGTGTGCAGTCCTGATTACACACATGAATGAAATCTGTGGTTTAAAGTTTTATTTATTAGGAAAAGGTCCTTCCCCCTGAGTGGGGCACTGACCAGGCTCCCCTGGGAATGATCCCAACCCCAAGAGCTCCAGGAGGGTTTGGATCCCTCTCAGGGATGCACAGGGTGGGGCTGTTGGGGTGTGTGTGCAGGGCTAAGGTTGCATCAGTGATTCCTGGGTCCCTTCCAGCTCAGGATTCTTTGATTCTCCATGACATTGCTCCATGCTGATCTTGAAACCTGAATCAAAAACCTGCAGAGATTCCAGCCCCTCCTTCCCACACCATTAACTCCATAACCCCACAACTCATTTTTTTGCCGTTTCCTCCTGTTTTTTCCAGTCCCAGCCGACGCCTCCAACCCCGCCAGCGTGGTGGTGTCCGTGCTGAGCAGGCTCTTCTGGGAATGATCCCAACCCCAAGAGCTCCAAGAACATTTGGATACTGAATGGGGTGGGACTGTTGGGGTGCCTCCTCTCAGGGATGCACAGGGTGGGGCTGTTGGGGTGTGTGTGCAGGGCTAAGGTTGCATCAGTGATTCCTGGGTCCCTTCCAGCTCAGGATTCTTTGATTCTCCATGACATTGCTCCATGCTGATCTTGAAACCTGAATCAAAAACCTGCAGAGATTCCAGCCCCTCCTTCCCACACCATTAACTCCATAACCCCACAACTCATTTTTTTGCCGTTTCCTCCTGTTTTTTCCAGTCCCAGCCGACGCCTCCACCCCCGCCAGTGTGGTGGTGTCCGTGCTGAGCAGGCTCCCCTGGGAATGATCTAAGAGTCAAGCCCCAAGAGCTCCAGGGGTGCACAGAGTGGGGTTGTTGGGGTGTCTGTGCAGGGTTAAGGTTGCATCAGTGATTCCTGGGTCCCTTCCAGCTCAGGATTCTCCGTGACAGTGCCCTGAAACCAGAATCAAAAGCCTGACTCCCACTCCAGCATCTCCTTCCACACCATTAACTCCATAACCCCACAACTCATTTTTTTGCCGTTTCCTCCTGCTTTTTCCAGTCCCAGCCGACGCCTCCAACCCCGCCAGCGTGGTGGTGTCCGTGCTGAACATCAGTGCAGCTCTGGGCTCCCAGGCCGTGCTGCCCTGCAAGAGCCACCGCATGGTGTGGACCCAGGACCGCCTGAACGACCGGCAGCGCGTGGTGCACTGGGACCTGCTCAGCTCCTACTATGGGGATGGCAGGATGGAGAGGCTCTGTGACATGTACTCAGCTGGGGACCAGCGTGTCTACAGCTCCTACAACCAGGGCAGGATCCTCATGCCCGAGAATGCCTTTGCGGATGGGAATTTCTCGCTGGTGATCAAAGGTGTGGAGGTTTTTGTTTTTTTTTCTCCCTGGGTTTTGGTGGAAATGGGTGGTTCATATGCTATTGATAAATGGATTTATGGTTTAGTTGAGGTGTTAGGGTATGGGTTGGACTTGATGATCTCTAAAGGTCTCTTCCAACCTGGTCATTCTGTGAATACCACGTTAATAAGTCTAATTCTCAGGGGGAATTTTAGGGTTTGGAACTGTCCAGGGAGGTGACGGAGTGGCCATCCCTGCTCTGGGTGCAATTTTAGGTGTGCCTGGCTGTCCTTGACACCTGGAATTCAGGATTCCAGGGTCTGGGAGCAATCTCAGTGCACTGCTGGCACTCAGTGCTCACCGTGGTTACTTGTGCACCTCCAATCTATCCCAGAAAACCTGCCCAGCTCAGCACGTTCAGCAGATCAAAACCCTCTCAGCATTCCCTCTCACCAAATACCTGCATACCTGGACTGTTGCATTAATTAATTTCTGCTTTTTGGGCACTTAGGGAAGTGGAGCCTCCAGCTGGAGACTCAAGGCAGGAAGAAGTTGAAGAATTTCCCCCAAACTCCTGCACTGCTCCTGGGCAGCCCTCTGGTTTTGCTTCAAAGTGAAGCTTCCAGCTGCCCCAGGGGAGGTTCAGGCTGGATAAAGGAGGAATTTTTTCCCCTGGAAAGGGCTGTTAAACATGGGAATTGCTGCTCAGAGAGCTGGTGGAGTCCCCACCCCTGGAGGTGACCAAGGAAGGACTGGACATGGCACTCAGTGCTCTGGGCTGGGGACAAGGTGGGGATTGAGGTTGGACTCAATCTTGGAGTTATTTTCCAACCTCAATGATTGTGTGAGGCTCTCTGAAGCACTGAGTGATTTATTTTCCTTTGAAACTGACCTGTTTTGAACGAGAATTTGTAACAACCTAAAAGCCAGCTGGGCTTTTTGTGGCCCTTTGGTTGTGATTCAGTTCCTGAACTATAACACTCCATGGTCATTGTTCCCTGCTCTCAGCTAAACCCAAACCAGCTTCCTCTTTCCACCTGTTAACAGAAATACACACATTTCTACTCACAAGAAATACACAAATTTCTGCTCACCAGAGCAAATCAACTGAACAAATTATTTCATTAGGTGACCAAATCATTAGATTGGGTGAGAGGATTTGTCTCTGCTTAACCCACCCTGGTGATAAGGATGGCTTAGAATGAAGTTGTTTACATCCAGACAAAGATTTGGGAAACTGCAAATGACACAAATAATATTGCCTCAGTATAAACCACTGAATTCCTCTCTGTTCCCTGCTCTGCAGGTGTTGCAGAGAGTGATGCAGGCACGTACTCCTGCAATCTCCACCATCACTACTGCCACTTGTACGAGACGGTGAAAATCCAGCTGGTCGTCGCCAAGAGAGGTGGGTGTGGGGACAGCCCGGGTCTGCAGCTGCCCCAGGAGGCTGGGGAGCTGCGGCAGGGCCTGCTGCTCTCTGTGCCCGTGGCTGCCTGCTTCCCTGCCTTTCAGAGGGTTCATTTACAGAGCTCTCGTCTTCCTTGGCCCGGCAGCGCCTGGAACCTCAGCTGTGTCTGTTCCTGGTCATTACCAAACTGTCCCTGCTGCAGCAGCAGCACACCCTGGTGACAATCCCCCCCTGGTGACAATCCCCAGTGACAATCCTCCCCTGGTGACAATCCCCCCTGGTGACAATCCCTGGTGACAATCCACACCCTCAGCTCAGCCCCAAGGACCTGCCTGTGCCCTGGGCAGCCTGTACTCAAAACCCCACCACACCTTAAGCCCAGCTCTGAGCTCCAGCTGTTGGCAGCTGCCGGGAGTCCCCCCCATGCACACTGGCACCCATTAAAAACCCTTTTAAACCTCTGCATAGCACCAGTGCAGCTGCTGGGGTGGGAGTGCAGCTCCTCTGCTGCTCTCCCAGTGCAATAAAAACACCCCGAGAGCCCCAGGCTGCTCCTCCGTGCTCTGGCTGCTCCTGTTCTTCCTTTTCAAGAGCCAAGCACAGAGCAGTGCTGCTTCAGCTCCTCCAGTAATTAGGGCCTTTGTGGGTAGGAAAGCATTTCCTGCTCCGAGGATTGGGATGAAGATCCTCGTTCCATTCTTAGCCTGTGGAGGGAATTTGCTTCCTGCTCGCTGAAGCAGGAGATTGAGTTAGAAGGAGGAGAAAGTGGCCTTGCTTCATGAAATGGCCAAGGATGTTAGAGGAGAAAGGTGTTTTTTTTAATAACTGCTGAAATAAATGTGAAAAAGCCAGGCTTGTTCATGTTCTTGCATGTTCAGGCTGTGCCATGTGGCACTTTTAAGATTTTGGGAGGGGGTGTGTTATAGGATTCCAGTCTTGTGGAGCTTTAGAGAGGGAGAGCAGCCTAAGGTGTCTCTGGGTGTCCTTGACACTTGGAATTCAGGGTTCCAGGCTCTGGGAGCAATCTCAGGTGTCTCTGGCTGTCCTTGACACTTGGAATTCAGGGTTCCAGGCTCTGGGAGCAATCTCAGGTGTCTCTGGGTGTCCTTGACACTTGGAATTCAGGGTTCCAGGCTCTGGGAGCAATCTCAGGTGTCTCTGGCTGTCCTTGACACTTGGAATTCAGGGTTCCAGGCTCTGGGAGCACTCTCAGGTGTCTCTGGCTGTCCTTGACACTCGATGTTGAGCGGGAATTTCACATTGACCGCGCCCATGAGATCGCAGCGTGCGACAGCAAATTGGCCTAAAATTTTGCTGGTTTTGGCCAAGGAAAGGAAACCTGGGTGATGCCTCAGGTTTTGGCTTTTCTGTTTTTCACATTCTGAGCTGCTTTAGTGTGTGGGTCTGGGTTCACATCAGGGGATGGTGAGCTCTGTGCACAGAGCAGGGAGACAAAACAATTCCTGCTCCAGCTGGGCACCAAGGACAAATGATCCAAATCTCAGCCCAGGAGCACAAACCCCGTGGGCCGGAGAGAGAAAAACAAGGATGGGACTGCAGGGGCTGCAGTGGGATTGGACAGTGAACTGAAATCTGCAAATGGAGCAGAACTTGTGAAAGTGAGAGACCCCATGAGCAGTCAGGGATTTTGGGACCATTTTGGTTCATCTCGGGTTCATTTTGGGACCATTTTGGTTCATTTTATGTGCAGCCCTGGCTGGGCTCTTGTGCTGCCCAAGGTGGATCCATGGAGGAGATCCTTTTCATAAATCCCTGCTTTATTCTTTAGCTCTGTCCAGTCTGTTCCAGGTCACCCTTCCCAAGGCATCACTCCAAATATTTCCAAGAAGCTGCTGCTCAGGTTGAAGTGTTTTTTCCTCTCCCAGATTTCTCCTCCTAATCCCAAGCTGCTGCTTTGCCCTAATGCCCAGCTGATGTGCAGTGCTGATGCTGAGCAGATAATAAACTGTGCCCAGCCTCTGTTCTAGCTACACAAAGCATCACAGAACGGAAACTTAAGTCAATTATGTTGGCAAACCAGGACGGGTGGGACAAAACCAGTGGAGCCAACCCATTGCAAAGCTGTGTTCCCCAGCAGGCGAGGAGGCCAGCGAGTACTGGGACGGCGAGAAGCCGGTGCTGGTGGCCCCGGAGGGCAGCACGGCGACGCTGCCGTGCGTCAACCGCCAGCACATCTGGACGGAGCGGCACAGCGAGGAGGAGCAGCAGGTGGTGCACTGGGACAGGCAGCCCCCGGGGGTGCCCCAGGACCGCGCCGACCGCCTGGTGGACCTGTACGCCTCCGGGGAGCGCCGCTCCTACGGGCCCCAGTTCCTGCGGCAGAAGATGAACGTCACGCGCGGGGCCTTCGCGCTCGGGGACTTCTCGCTGCGCATCTCGCGCCTGGAGAGCGCCGACGAGGGCACCTACTCGTGCCACCTGCACCACCACTACTGCGGCCTGCACGAGCGCAGGATCTACCACGTGGCCGTGACGGAGCCCGAGAGGGAGAGGAAGGTGGTGAACATCAGCACGCACGCCGTGGTGCCCGCCGCGGGTGAGTGGGGATGGGCTGTGGCGCGGCTCTGGGGTTTTGGGTGCCAACAGTCTCTTGTTATGAGGTCTTTTAAGGCTAAGCTAGCCAATTAGGAAGTTGCACCTAAATTAGTTTCAGTTTTAACGCAATAACTGATCCCTCAAAGTCCACACTGCAGACTTTTCTGTCCAATTACACAAAACCACCCAAACCCATGGAGAAGAAGGAAGAAGAAGGTAAATAAGAACAACCTGCCTCTGCCCTAAAACCTCCATCTTGCTTCATATTTATTTCTATATTCTAAACCCCAAACTCTCCGTTTCCCACCCTGTGATATTACACACTTCTAACCAACCCCACACCCACAATCCCAATTCTGTCGTTCCATTTTGGCAGCTTCTCCACAGCCCCAGGTCAGATGCAGTGCTCTCCAGAGGGTCAGAGTCTGTCTGTACACAAAGTCTGAATTTCTCAACAGCTTCCAGCAGAGTGGGACCATACCAAGAACAATTGGAATCATACCAAGAATGATTTATTGCTCAGATAAACATCAGAGGCCCTGAGATTTACAAGAGCAAGCAGTCAGCCACAGCTCGAGGCAGTCACAGGTTCTCCATGACAAGGCAATGTAAAGCTTTCTACCCCAATGTTGCCACAGGATTTATTTTGCTTTTCTGGCCTCCCACCTTTACTTACTGCCCCAGGGCAGTTCTGCACTGCTGGCAGGCCCCAGGCAAACAAGCTGGGTTTGCTTTGTGTTTTTGTGCAGCTCCCTCTCCCTTTTTTTTGGCTCTCTTTCCTCCATGCCTTCATGGAGCTGTGGGCAGGGGGTTGGTGCAGCCCTGCCTTTGCTGTCCCAGCTCTTCCCACCAGAGTTTCTCTCCCCTTTGCACGGATGTTCAGGCTGTGCAAGGTGCCAGACCATGCAGAATCAACCACCAGGAATTTTCCTCCACCCTTCAGCTTTTCTTTTTTTAAATTTTTTCTTTTTTTTGTGTGTATGTGTATGTGCCATAAACCAATTTTCATATTTTCCACTGCACTGAGCTATCATCTGTCAGCCTGTCCAAACTCAAAACCATCACTCTTCGTTCAGGCAGAAAAAGAAAACAAAAATCCCAAGTTTAATTTTTTTTTTTAAAGTCTTTTGGGTATAGTTCTTTATTAACACTTTAAAATATTCATTGTGCTTTAATATTTATTGGCTGTTTAATACAGAATTTTGATTTGCTTCATACATTTTTAAATAGGTTTATTCTCCTGTAAGAAATTGGCTTTCTCAAGTCATAGAGACCTAAACTTTTTCCCTGGGGGCCAAGGTTGGTGTCCAGAAAATCCAGGCAGTGCTGAGAGAGGTGTCTGGAGACCAGGACATCCAAATATCAGATTTCCTGCACACGGCCCTTGATCCTTATCCACAGATGGAAGCCACATCTTGTTTCCAGAGTGTTTCACCCAGAAATTTCCTCAGGATGCTGTCCTGAGTCTTTCCCACCTGCCCAGAAAGGAGGTGGAGTCTCTGGGTGATTTAACCTGAATTTCCCTCCCTGGCAGAAGCCACTTCCTCTGCCCAAAGCAGCAGCTCTGGGACCCCTCAGCCCTCCCAAAAATCTGCTGAGTCCATGGCAATGTGTGAGCACTGGAGACATCCAGAGGTTTCCCTTTCCAACCCTGCTGATTGCCCCATTCCATGGAAAACTGCCTGGAATTCTTCTGGGGAGCACAACAGCCACGGGGAGACACCAAAAGCCAACCCAGGAGCTCCTGGCCTTGCTCCAAGCTCCATTCCCAGACAGGAAAGTTGCCCCTGTTTGGAGCAGAGGCAGGGGCTCAGTGCTGCTCTCAGGCTCAGCACTGTAAATGTGGTGGGTTTTTACCAAAAAAGCATTTTTACTCAGGGTTTGCTCTGCAGCAGGTGCCTGAAAATTCTGTTGTGTCTCCTGATGAGACACAACATTTGTCAAATATTGGCAAACCTTGTGGAGAGCTCTCCACCTTTTCCAGCAGAATAATTTGGTCCTTGACACTTTGGGAAGATCGTGTCAAGGCACTTCTGAAATTTAAGGTTTCCCCCTCACCTTTAAGATTTATTTTTTCAGGGGTAAAAATGTCCCGGGAGTGAATTTGGGGTGGGTGGATGTGAGATCAGGTCTTGGTTACAGAATAAACCTTCACAGCTAAATTCTGGGGCAGGGTGAGGAGGAGTCTGTGTGCCCTGGGCTGAGCTGTGCCTCAGTTTCCCCAGTATCAAATGGGGTACATCCCATTGCCCAAAGCTATTAAATCTCTGTTTTCACTCTGTGTTGTGACCTCCTCAGTGTTGCCTAAAGTTTAACCCAGCCCTTACCCAGTTCTGTGGGAAAGCAAAGAGCCAGGAATAGAAATTCCTCTGCTTGCTGTGGCAGCAAGGAGCCAGGGGTGGGACACAGCAGAGCTGTCACATGTGCTGTTTGCAGCTTTGCAAGTGGCTTTCTTGGTTTGAATTGATATTTTTCAGCTTGGCAGGGTGGAAATCCCATGGTTTTTCCAGCTCCGTGTCCAGGGAGAACTGGAAATGCCAGTAAAAAGCAGAGTGCTGCTGGAGGAGCACTGGGCCACCAGAACAGAGCACGTTGCTCAAACTTTCTGATTTTCTAGGACTGCTGTTGGCATTAGCAAACCACCAGCTCTGGTTTCAGAGTGTTTATTTCAACCCACTCTTGCTGGATTTCATTTGATTTTTGCTGGGTTGGTATTTTTAACTGCTGGAAACAAACTGCCCAAAAGACTGGAAGCAGTCCCAGTGCCAGCACTGCCAGAAGTGTCAGGACACATCTGCTGAAGGGTGCTGTGGCTCTTGGGGTAGTTTTGAGATATTATTTCCCCACTTTTCCCCTTATTTCCTCAGGATAATTAGCAGGGGGAGCTCCCAGGGGAATGGGAGGTGAGGGCTCCATGCTGATCTTGCCTGGTGCTCTGTGAAAATTCCCTGTGAGGGGTGAAGGTGGGGATTTTTTCCTTCTGTTTTGAATTAAAAACCCCTGTCCCAGCAGAGTCCTGTGGGATTCCATCCATGCCTGGCCTGGCTTTGTCCATTCCTCTGTCTGTTGCAAGCACAGAAGTCGCTTCCTCTTTACATGTGTAAAACATTGACCTATTTATTTGAGGTCTAAAAAGAAAAAAATGTTCCACGTAAAAGCTTTGAGCTCCCCTTCCCTGTTCTGTGGGACAGAAATCCTGCTGCACCCTCCAAAGGAAAGGAATCTTGGCTTTCCTCTGCTTTTGGGGGGTTTTATTTATTTTATTGATTTTATTTCATTTCAAAGCAAGCTCATTTTTTTGGCTCTGAGAACTCTTCCCACTCCATAAATTATAACCTTGGCGAGGAGGGGCTGCTGTCTGGAGCCAGAGCAGCGTGGAGTTTGTGTTGAAAGGGACCCAGATGGAGCTTTTGGGACCCTCTGGAAGGTTTTGCTCTGAAATTCCCCCCTGCAAGAACACTCTGCAGGCCAGGGATCCCTGATCCCAGAGAAGGGATCCTGTTAAACCCTGGGAATTATGAGAAATCAGGCACTGATTCATTCTTGCGATTCAGAATTCCTCCCTGAATTCCCCTCCAGTGACGCCTCCTGTTCTCCTTCCCTCAGATCCAAACGTGGTCAGGGGCCACAACGTCATCAACGTCATCATCCCCGAGAGCAGGATGCACTTCTTCCAGCAGCTGGGCTACATCCTGGCCACTCTGCTGCTCTTCCTCGTGCTCCTCATCGTCGTGGTGCTCGTCACGCGCCGGCGCCGGCAGAGGGGTGAGCCAGGGAAACCCTGACCTGGCCTGCATCATTCCTGCCAGAGCAGGGCTGCAGGCTGGGACCCCCTCCTGGAAATGCAGGAACCTGCCCAGGGGGAGGATTGGCAGGGCTGGTGTGGTGTGAAAATATCCAGGCCTTGATTTCGTGGAGTTATTTGGGTTGGAAAAGACCTCCAGGGTCATCAGCTCCAGGCTTTGGTTGAGCCCCACTCCTGATTTTCTCTGTAGAAGGGAGGAGAAAAGCCCCTCACAGGTGGGATTTGTCCCTGGGGAACTCATGTGTCCAGGATTTGCAGGGCTGGTGAGGTGTAAAAATATCCAGGCTTGGATTTTGTGGAGTTGTTGGGGTTGGAAAAGATGCCCAGGGTCATCAAGTGCAGGCTTTGGATGAATCTCACTCATTATTTGCTCCATGGAAGGGAGAAGAAAAGCCCCTCACAGGTAGGATTTGTCCCTGGGGAGCTCAGGTGTCCAGGATTTGTAGGGCTGGTGTGGTGTAAACATATCCAGACCTTGATTTCATGGAGTTCTTTGGGTTGGAAAAGACCTCCAAGGCCATCAGCCCCAGGCTTTGTTTGAAGCCCACTCCAGATTTGCTGTTTTGCTCCATGGAAGGGAGGAGAAAAGCCCCTCACAGGTGGGATTTGTCCCTGGGGAGCTCAGGTGTCCAGGTCCTGCTGGGCTGGGTGGCTCTGTGGTCCCACAAAGGGACACTGGGCTCTCTGGGTGACACCTCAGCCCTGGTTTTGGGTGCCACACAAAAAAAAACAGCACCAGGAATGGGTCTGGACTGGCTGTGACTGCTCACTCTGCTTTTCCTCCTGGTTAGGTTATGAATACAACGTGAAGAAATATGGAGAGTAAGTATAATCAATTGTAATAGAATTAATATTATTAATTAGGTTTAGAATGCATCTAAATGAAATAATTTTAATTTCCTCCTCTGCCAAGAGCCTAAACCAGCTGAAAATCTGGTTAGGAGGAGGAAGTGGAGGGAGAAAATGGTTTGTGGGGCTGATTTGGCAATAGAATTTTCTCTTGTTACTCTTTGGGAGCTGACTGAGGGATGGAGTTCCTGTGAGATGTCCTTGGGAAAGGAATAATGCCCAGATCTGCTGTGAGATGGGGCCAGGATCATGGAGCTGGGCTCCTCCAGGCCTTGTTTTATAGGATTAAAGTGGAAAAGAGAAGGAAATTCCAGGATTGGCTGCCCGTTGTTCTAAGATCAGGACAAACAGGTGGGGGGAAAAATTAAAAATTAAATAAATTCTATAAATAATTATAAAAGCTAATGGGAAAAAGTGTGAAAGGAGCCAATTATTAAAAGATGGGACAACACCATTTCCCACCATTATTCCCTTTTCAGGAAGGATGTGAATCTTAAAGAATTCACAGTGGACACAACAGACCTGACCCCACACAAAAGTGAAGACATCAGGCTGGGTAGGTATCCCTGGCCACCACAGCAGGTCAGAATCCCTGTAAATCTGAAATTTCTAATGCCACTTGAATATTTGGAAGTGACTTAACCCATTCTTCAACCTCTGGAAGTGGGAATGGATTTTATTTGACCAGAATTGGGTAAGGAGAAGTCCTGAGTCAGTTGAGTTCATTGTCTCCACCTTCTGTTGAAGCCACTTTGGTTTAACTTTCTGATTTCCTCCTCCCTGGATGTCAAATCATTCAGTGAGAATTTGGGCCTTCTGTGCTAGCAATTAGAGCAGATAAACAGAGTGAGAGGAAGAAAATCTGAGCTAGAAAAGAGAAAATACAAATCCCCCTGGAACTCGTGGTAAAATGAAAGGGAAGAGGGGGAGGAAGCTCATCTCACACTGTGAAAGTGGGTGTTTTTGGGATTTTTAGGACAAATTTGGGGAATTTCCAGCATTCCTGAAGGTGGATGCTGCTCCTTGCTGGGGTTTGAAGGTGCAGCCTTGAGTTTGTGTCAATAATTGATGAGGGCTTGGCTCTTGCTGGGATTTGGAGTGAATCCATTTCACCAAACTGCTGCTCCTGTCTGCAGCACCCTGGGGTTCCTGAAGCCTGTCATGATGCCAAGTTCTGCAACTTGATGGATAAACCAGGAGATAATTTCCCTTGGATTTTTTTATTTGCATCCCCAGTAAAGGTACAACCTTTAAAAGAAAAATCTGACAAACCTTAGGTCCCAGGAATTGCTGTAAAGGCCCCAGCAAACAAAAAATTTGGAGTAAAGAAAGGAATTGCAGAGGCTGGGTTGCAAAAATCCTTCTCTGTGTGTCCCAGGAGAGCAAAATCTCTGGATAATTGCATCAGTCACCTCCAGGTGAGCTTTGAGGAGACAATCCAGAGCTGGAAGGATCTGTGGAGCTGGAGTTTGCACAACTGATTAATGCCAGGGGCTAAAATGAAGTCAGAGCTGTTTTCCTGCTGAGTAACTCCACAAATAATTCCTAGAAATCAGAGGTGCCAGTCCTAGAGCACGGCAAGGAAGGGCTGATCGCCTCTGCCTTGCTCATCAAACTCTTGTTTTCTTTTCATATCCTAATTCCTGTGTGAATTCTGCTCCTCCCTCGCACAGATTACAAAAACAACATCCTGAAGGAGAAGGCTGAGCAAGCCAGGAGCTTCCCAGCAAAGAACATTGATTTAGACAAAGGTAATCATGACTTTCTTCCCTTTAATTGGTGGCTGCTGGTGGGAGCAGTCCACCAGTGAGTGACCAAGCCACAGCCAAGGAGGAATGAGAAACCTCGTGGCAGAAGCAGGAATGAGAAGCCAGCTGCCTGCCCATCCTTTCATCATGGAGCCACAAGATGCAAGCAGTGATTAGGCTTTTAAAAGCTTCGGGCACGGCACAAATTGGAATTTTTCTTGATTGGGAAAAGAAAGCTTGGCAGGGCTGGAGCAGTGCCTGCTCTGCTGTGACCCCAGAGGGAGGGAGAGGGAGCCCAGAAATGTCCTGGCGTGGTGTTTGGGCAGAAAACACAGAGCAGAAGGAGAGTGTTTGGAGTGGAATTAATCTCTGGGTGATGGGCAGTTACTGCATCCAAGAAAAGCAAACAGCTCTCCCTCCCTGGGGGCTGGATCTCCTCCTGCTGCCCCAGGACTCATCCCCAGGGCTGTGCCTGTGTTTGTGGGGCAGCTCTTGTGTCAGGCAGGGCTTGTGAGCAGCTCTGGGATTCCAGGACTCATGCCAGGGGAGTGAGGATTTAATAAATGGGGCTGAAATGACACCAAGCAGGGGATGGAGAGCCCAGGAGCTGTCCCTGATGGAATTCTCCTGGCATTTTCTCCTGCAGGGTGGGTCTTGGGGGGGCTTTTTGATATCAGGGTTGTGGGTGACTGCAAATGCTCACCCTAGAAATAAATCCATATTTTTGTGCTTCTTTGAATGGTTTGAAGTCTCTCTCCAGGTGCTGACCCCCTGTTTCCATTTGCTTTCAGATTTCAGGAAGGAATATTGTAAATGAAGACACTCCCAAGCTGCTGGCTGGACCAGAAGCTTCCATCCAAGATAGATAATGTGGAAGAGAGATGGCTTTTCTTAATTCCATCTCCCTCCAGTTCCCACAGAATTTTTTCCACATCCACTTTTTATTTTTTTCCCCCCACACAAGGGTGCAAATGCTTCATGAAAGAGTTAAACTGTCTTGTGTGCATTTATGGGGTTGGGTTGCCTTTTCTTCCTCTGTTCTCCCAGTCCTCCCTTCCCCTTTTCTTTCTTGACAATTATTGTTGGATTTTATGCATCGATGATTTTTATGAGCTGAATCAGCAGAGGTTTTTGCTTTGATGTTATTGCTTTAAATAAAACCACCTGCATCACTATTCCTGAGCCATCGTTGCACCAGGCATTTTTCCATGTGGTGGATCCATCAGGAGAACAATGGCAAAAGCTGATCCCTGTCCTAGGCTGGCAAAAATCATTTCACACACACCTTGGCACCTCCCAGGTGAAGCACAACCCTCCCAAAACCTCCTTTTATCCGTGGGGAAATGTCAATATCCTCATTTACAGGGAAAGGAAAGCACACCAAGGGCTGAGGGCTCAGCTCAGAGCTGAACTCTGCATTTCTCACCCCGTTTTTGTTGATTTGTTTCTGTGTTCCAGCACAGCCCAGAGCAGATGTGGTGCATGCAGTCCCAGTGCTGTAAATTCCAGTCTCAGGTAGATCAGGAGCAGGAATTTTGTGCACAGGGCTGAGCTGCTGGGGGCAGCCTGGGATGGGATTTTTCTGCACCCTGGGCTGGATCCAGGCCACAGAGCACATCCCAAAGGTAGGAGCCAGCACAGGGAGAGGGTGGAAGGGACCAACAGCAGGAATTCCATGGCCCAGGGGCTCAGAAAGGAAATCCAGGAGGGGAATGAGTCCATCCCCATGGATTTGGGGTGGATTCCTGGGGGGGGTTCTGCCTATGAACACTCCCAGGTGGGGCTGCCAAAAAAATAGGAAGTGATTCAGTGTTGCAAGTCCAGACTTCAGGAACGCTGTAAATGGGATCAGTCCTTGGGGAATGGAAGGAAAGAAAAGTGTTTGCTGCTGTTGTGGGGGTGGTGACAGGGACTTGGTGAGGATGAGGTGACCAGGGAGTGCCATCCCTCTGTCTGGTGGCCTGAGGGGTGGCAGAGGGGGGGATTTGTGTGAGTGGAGCTGGGGCAGCATCTCCAGGAGTCTTTTCTTGCCAGTTTGGGTGTCTTGTCTGACTGATGCCAACGTTCTCAGGCATCCAAATCCCATCCCAATCCCAAATCCCATCCAAATCCCATCCAAATCCCATCCAAACCCCATCCAGCACCTCCAGAACCCAGGACTCTTTTCTTGCCCGTTTGGGTGTCTTGTCTGACTGATGCCAACGTTCTCAGGCATCCAAAGCCCATCCCAGCCCCTGTCCCTCCTCCCAGGGGCACAGGGATCTCTGCTGGCTGTGGCAGGGCTCAGAGGGTGCCAAGGCTCCTCAAAACTGAGCTCAGCTCTGCCCCAAACGTGGTGGGTGAGGCCTCCGGAGGGGCTGTGACACCCTCACAAGGTGGGAAGTCACAGCAGTGCACTTTTCATGACAAATAAACCATGGGCATTTTTCCAGTCTGTTACTGGGGGCTGTGTGAAAGAGTAATTGTATTGGGGGCCTTATTTTCAATGTCTTCAAGCAGTAAAAATATTAATAATAGAACAGAACCAGAGGTGCAGGTGAGCCTTCCTAAGCTGCAGCTGAGCTGAGCCTCATCTTTTAATTTCTTGGCCCTTCTAAGAAGTTGGAAGGGCCAAGAAATTAAAGGAACTGCTCTCCACAGGTTCTTTTGTGATTTGTAATGAATTCCCTTTATCCTCACTGAACATCCACCCCAAGAAGTGCCCGGGATTAGTGCAGAGGAAGCTCTGGGGTTGATCCCCAGCCCCTTTTTGCCCTTCCCCTGAAGCAGAGAGGGGTTTTGCCCCTGCCCTGGAAGGCAGGCTGCATTCCTGCAGGTGCAGGAGGCTGTGCTGCTTCTTCCATCAGGGTGGCACAGCCTCAGATAATTGTCATTAAAGTTCCTCTCCCTCCCTTTCATGTCACTGAGTCAAAGGATGGAGATTTTTTTTCCTTGCCAGCTCCAATTGCTCAGCACAGCTCAGAGTGGGGTTACTCATAAACTCCAGAGGCATTTCAGTGTTTTATCTGACTCCTGGGCTGCAGAATAGCTTAAGGGGGATAAAAATGAATATATTCTGTGAAACGGGGGGTGGGAAGGGCTCTGTGAGTTCCTCATGCTTGCTTTGACCACTGGATTTGGGTAATGGGCAGAGATGCCAGGTGGGGATGGGATGGGATTCTGGCCCAGGATGATCCTCTCCAAACATTTAAGAAATAAAGGAGAATAAAATGGACTTTCCAGCTCAGGTTGAGTTTATTTCTTGCCCTTTTGGAGGTGTTCTCTCAGCCAGCATTAGCTAATTCTTCCCAATAACTGCAGGGGTGTTTCATCTCAGAGCATCCCAAAGTGCCTGACAAAGTGCAGATTGGATCCAGTAAATTATTCCAGTGATTCCAATAAAATTTCCACCTGGGACTTCATTACTTGACAGGGTCACGGGGCCCCCAGAGGAATTTCAGCTCTCCAGAAATGTTGTATAAGGAACAAATCTGCAGCTGGAGACGGAGCTCAAACCACCCAGCAGAGAGGGAGCCTGGCAGCCCTTCTAAATCTCCTTTTGCAGCTCCAGAAGGGAAGATAACATTTCCTGCTGGAATTTAGATCTCCCTGCCAGCCCAAATTCCTCTTTTGCTTGCAGGACTAACGCCTTGCACAGCTCCTGCTGCACATTCTGCTCCTGGAGGCCTCCCAGCCCCTGAGCTGGCAGAGCTCTCCCATCACCTCCACTGATGGAAGCAGCTCCTGGACACTGCAGGGACAAGGATTCCAGGATCAAGGCAGGATATTGGGATAATTCACTTCTGGGGGATTTTGGCAGGAATTAGAGACAGGATCTCTGAGCTGGATTTGATGATGGGTTTATTTTTCTTATCTTCTGCATAAGCAGGAAGGGTGAGTTCAGCTCACATCTTCACAGCTGGGTTCAGAAGGTCACAAGCCCCTTAGTTACAAGTCCTTTTAAAGATTTATTAACCAATAAAACACTGCCAACAAAGATATTTATGATTTTGACCCAATCCTTAAATATTTCATCCTATGGACCCATGTTACAGTGTAAGCTTTCTGAGTTAATCATGTTATGACACACAAACCTACAGCTCTAAACTCCTTATTTACCTCTGTAACTACTTTTATTTTTATATTTGAAAATTTTATATATTTCAACTTAAATCTTCTATATCTAGAAGGTTTAGATGTAAAAGGACCTAAAACACAAATAAATGTTCATTACATTTAAGCCCCGGGGAGCTTTGCAGAGGTTGCTGCAAAGTCTTTTGCTTCCCTCTAGTGTTGAACGTCTCCATTTCCTCGTCAGTGACTGCCCAAGGTCCACTGCACACAGGGGGAATAAATGGGAAAAAACCCTTGCAGATCTTCCAGACCAGATCCAGGAGAAATTGAAATTCTCTCTGCTTCTCATTCTGCTCTGGGATCATTTCCATCTTTACTTCATCTTCTGTGTCAATGCCAACCTTGCCAACAATCCTCAAGGTGAAATTTTATTATTTTACAGATAAATCCTTGATATGAAAACCACCCAGGACACCTCTGGCTGGCTGCTCAGAGCTCTGGTTTCCCTTTTGTCCCATCTTTTCACACACTTATTTCAGGAAATACTGCCAGATTTTTTTGCCCAAGAACAGAGAGGTTCAGTTCTTTTCCCAGGGAATATTAAGGTCATGTGTTCAAGAATTGTTTTAGAGATTCTGCAGTAAAAATTTAGAATCCCTAAACCAAAACCACCTTGGGGCAGTGGTTCAGGTCAGCAGCTCTGCCTGAGCAGAGTGTGATGAGCTCTCAGAATTCCCCAAGACACACAACAAGCCTTGCTGTAATTCCAAAAAAGGTTTTAAAGAATGGCTTTTTAAAAGGGTTTGCTTATTCCCTGTGTGGTAACTGCTGTGTCAATGAAGAAAAGGATGAGCAGCTTTTATCCCTCAGGACATTCTCTGCTCCCTGCACGACTATTCCCCCTATCACAGGGAGCACAGCACTACCAGCAAGAGATTTGGTGCCTCCTGTTTATTTTTTGCTGAAGTGTTAAGGCCTGAGCTCTGCCAGACTCGAGGTGTTAGCCCTGGTGGGCCAGGGGTGCATCCTGCATTCCTCTGTCCTCTCTTTAATTGGATTAGCTGCTGGTTTGACTGCAGCATGAAAGTGATCTCCCCTCTTGTGTGCTTTTTGTGAGTCACAGAGCCAGCCTGCTCGCCCTGCTCGGGGTAATCATCTGACAATTATTATTTCCAGCTGTCAGGAGTGAAAGTGAAGCGCAGGGAGCAGGAACAGAGCTCTCAGCAGGTTCAGGCCCTGGGTGGGCACCTGAGAACCCAGGAGGTCATTAAATACCCACTGAGGGACCAAATGTTGATGTTCTGCCTGAGTTTCATGCTGTAAAAACTCCGACAATATTGCTCGTGCCAGAGCTGTGACCCCACCAAAGGGAATTTTCCCATTCCTGGTGCTTCTGATGGATTCAGGGAGAACTTCCCATGCCAGGAACACTCTGGGGTGCTTGCAGAGCCTGCTAGGACAGAAAGCTCAACTCATATTTTTGGGGTTTAACTGAAAAAGGGGATTTTTTTAATAAGCAGGACATTGAGACCTGAGGATGCTGCTCTGAAATCTTCATTTTCTGGTGGTCGTTTTTGGGGATTTTACAGAAATAAAGGTGAATTCTTTCCAAATACATCACCTGTGTGGCACTAAAGAGTTTTTTTTCTGATTCTCCTTTCCTCATTCCCATTCTTATTCCCATCCCTTTCTCTTATCTCATCCCCTTTCCCTCACTATCCCCATCCCCATTCCCGTCCTATCCTCTTTCCTCTCCTCATGCTCATTCCCTTTCCCATCCCATCCTTTTCCATCTCCTCATCCCCATCCCCTCTCCTCATCCTCATTCCCTTTCCCATCCCATCCTCTCCCCTCTCCTCATCCCCATCCCACCCCCACTCTTATTCCCATCCCCTCTCCTTTCCCTATCTCCATCCTCTTTCGAATCCCATCCTTTCCCCTATCTCCCTTCCTTTCCCATCCTCTCCCCTCTCCTCATCCCCATTCCATCCTTTTCCCTATCCTCTTTCCCATCCCATCCCCTTCCCCTATCCCCATCCCCTTTCCCCATCCCATCCTCTCCCCTCTCCTCATCCCCTTTCATTTTCCTATCCCATTCTCTCCCCTATTCCACCGAGCCCGAGCCCCCCGGAGAGCCGCCGAGCGCCGCGCCCGGCCCGGGCAGCGCCGCAGCGAGGCCGGCGGGGCGGCCGGAGGATGCGGGCGGGGCGGGCGCGCTGCCGTTCCCGGGTCGGGCAGCTAGAGAGCAGTGCAGGGAGCGCCAGCCCGAGCCCGCAGCTCCCTTCCTGTGGGCAAGGCCGACAGCGGAGCCGAGCGCCGGCCGAGGAGGCCCGGCCCGGCCGCCCCCGCTCCGCTCGCCCATGGCGGAGACCAAGATCATCTACCACATCGACGAGGAGGAGACGCCGTACCTGGTGAAGCTGCCCGTGCCGCCGGAGAAAGTCACGCTGGCCGATTTCAAAAATGTCCTCAGCAACCGGCCCGTGCACAGCTACAAGTTCTTCTTCAAGTCCATGGACCAGGATTTCGGGTGAGCGGCCGCGCTCCGGGCGCGCCCCGCGGCCCCCGGCGCGGTCTGCGGGCCGCGGGCCGGGCAGGGC